TAAGCACATAATTAGATCAACATTTTATATCAACAAAATTAAGTACTTTGCAATTCTTCTGGTAATGGCCCAAACCACCACACTTCTTGCACCGATGTTGATTTGCCATAGGTTTTGATACTTCATGTGCTGATTTTAAACATTTGGTACCTTTGGGACGACCTCTACCACAGTGAATTTTTGGGTTAAGAATCATAGGATCACTATTTTCTTTTTCATCATCCAGATTATCAATTTCTTGCAAATCATCTGATTCGAATTTATTATCTTCAACAAAATCCTCAAGCAGTTCGATTAAATTTTGTGATTTTGTTTTATTCTGCAATGCTTTATGAAGGGCCCTTTTGTATGCAGCATGAATATTTCCATACATCATTTTTTGTTCAAGAGTTGTCAAATTTTCTGCTCGGAAATTAGGCTTCTCTTGTTTAATATACAAATACAGAACTGGAAAATCAGGTGCTTTTGGTACTTTTATAGAAAACTTGTCCACCACTATAAATAGCTCCTCTGCGCCAATTTCTTTTGTACTGTACCAACGTGAAGGCAGCATCCGAATGTGAAACTTTGCATTATTTGTACTTAACATTACCTGAAAATAATGCTGACATACTATACCACATCTTATAATAGATAAACAAGAATATAGATATGACCGATTCTTTAATAACAAAACATAATACTTTATTTTTGTTGAATTTCTAGCACAAATAGCCCAAGTCTTCTAGATATTGTTCAAGCCGGCAAATTCAATCAGTTGATTAAAACTAGTTTGCATATCATCACTGTCAAATTCTTCATGAGAATCGTTAGAATCATCATCCTATTAAAAACAACCTTAATATACTATACTATATTTATTCAAAATTCAAACAAAATAATAATTAGACCCTCACTTCACTAGAATGCATAGGATCTTTAATTACATTCGATATATAATAAACCGACTGGTTAATTTCATTACGTTGCATTTGTAAAATAGTTGGCGTAAGGAACTTTTGAATACACTTGTCAACATTAGTAAACAAAAAGTTCACTTTATTCTGATTTTTCACGTTTGGAATTGAGAGTTTCCAAAATTTATATTCGTTCTCTCTATCCTGAATATCCAAAAGCCTAGTAATCTCTGTTAAAAGGTCACATAAAGAGATATTTGAACTATGTAATAAACATTTCAGGCATACATTTACTGATTCAACTCGTGATGTAGCAATTATTCCTCCGGTAAACTTGAAACATGTAAAACAATGGGCCCAATAAGCTTTCGATTTAAAAAGAAGCTCTAAATAACTTTTAGAACTAGAATAATCTTGAGTAAGTTTATTAAACTGTTGATGAAAGAAATTTTCAGAGAAACTATTATGGCAAATATAGAAGTCTTTAAGAAAGTTTTGGTATATATCGCCTAGCAGCTTTTTGAGATTTTTATGTAGATTTTGTGTTAAATGATAAGCACAATGAATCGGATATGTCATAG